ATGTGAAGCAGATAACAACAAAAAATGTATGTAAAATGAAATTTACTATATTTAAAAATAAATATTTAGGATTATGCATACGCTTCTACTAGCGGCGTGTGCGCGAGCTTCCACTAGCCCGAATGCACAATTTGGTACTCGGGCATTTAAATAAACTCCGGCCATCTCAAGCTACCACCATTTCAAAAGTCTAGGGTTTGGAAGTTAGATGATTTAACTCCATAGGAAGGCCGCGCCATAGCTCCAGCGGTTAGTCGCTGGTTTCCCACCACGTCGGCACGGGTACGATCCCGTGTCTGGTCAAGTGGGATTTGTGGTGGACAAAGTGGCGCTAGGGCGGGTTTTCTCCGAGTACTTCGGTTTGCCCTGCCAATCTTCATTCCACCAAATTGTCCATCATCATAATCACCCGGGACAGGCTACAATAGGCCAATCAGTGGCAACCGTGCCGAGTGGACCCAGTTGGAAAAACACCCCCCACTAAACGAATTAAAAAAAAAAATTCCGTAGGGAGTCACTCCTTAGTTTAGAACTTCAATACATTTCAGAATAAAATTATTTAGGCTAAATAATAAACTTTAAGTATCCGATGTAAAACGGCGATTTAATTCAAGCATATTTAGACAATAACACTGTTGTTAATCCAGAGGAACTTCACTACCTAGGGAGATGTCTGAAAGGAGTTGGTCTGTATTGGGTCTACACATCTCCTTTATAAAATAATACCCTGCCAAGGAGAAATGTCAGAGAGCCTAACATTTACTTAAACATATATGCTGTACGCTGAAATTCATTTCCCAATGATGTCTTACTCGTAGGTCAAATATCCGGCATAGATCTACGTGTATATCTGTTTACTTTCTAAAGCCGGCGAGATGAGGAGAACCACATTGCACATATACCAACATAGAAGTATTATTTTGTTGCCGAATGTGCTTGAAATTCCAAAAACAACAGAAATAAATCATTTATAAATAACTACGATCTATAAAACAAAATTTTACATAAACACATTCTGAATCCATGTTACCCTTCTTACATGCTTTTGTTACTCGCAAGTTCAGTTGGTAGAAAAGGACATACATTTTACGGGGCAGTTTGGAAAGGTAGATTCTAAAGGATTCTGTGTGTTTGGAATGGATTCATAAAAATCCACGATATACACTTCACAGAATTGAAGCAATGCATTGATATCAATGACTGTTCGCTCATTCCTGATCTATCATGAAGGCCTAATTTTATATGACATATGAAAATATTTAATCAGAAAGTGTAATTTAACAACAGTTGTGAGTCCGATAGAAAAACTTAACGTTCTCCTTTAACAAGGTGGCGTTGTTTTTTAGATGAGTACTAGGTGCTATCTTTTGCTCATAATTGCAGCTGGAATAAAAACACAAAATTAAATATAAGAACATGTAGTGTATATTTTATAAGAAGATAAAATTTATTAATTGAGTATGACGTAATTATGTTGAAGACGTGTAATAGGAACATTTAGTGATATGGAATATTTTATGCACAACTCTCAAACAGCAAATTTATGCTCGTTTTTTATTTCGTTTATAATATATCCACTATTTAACTATGAAAGCGTAGGATATAAGATAGCACGTTTCTAGAATTTATTTGCCACATATTTTCTAATACCATACTGTAAGAGTAGAATACTGACTAGGTCGCGGGCTGGACGACCCTAAATTCGGGTTTCTGATCTCGGAAGGGACAAGAGATTTTCTATCTTCCGCAGGTCCAGGGCGGCTCCATGGTTCACTCAATCTCCTATCAATGAGTTGCAGAGGTTATTTTTCTGGGGTCAGGGGGAGCGGCTGGAGCATGAAGCTTACCACTCACCTCTATCAAGTGCCGAAGTTAAGAATCCGTGGAGCAATCTCTGCACTCTCCCATACGTCGTCACGGCGTGACAGTTAATAGGGACATCTTTGCCTTTGCCGTTAAGGGTAGACACTTAAGTGCCCTTGAAAGAAATACATAGAATAGGAATGAAATATTGTAATATTAGCTAGTGAGACGAGAGTGGTCTTATATGACTGAAATGAACATGTCAAACAAACTCCGTGGCTTTAGTCCGCAAGCGAACTATGCCGACCGAGTGACTGCCGCTTGTCGGCGAAGTTAGTGCCGACTTCAGCGGATAGAGGGTGTCGCGTGGTCAGCGCAACGAATCCCTATGGCCGTTAATTTCGATTTTGTAGACCGAAGCCGCTGTTTCCTTGAAATAGCTCCTCAATTATCCTCACAAGGCTGAGTGGACCCCGTTCCAGACCCACTACGTTTCAGAAAATCTGGTAGCGCCGGGAACCAAACCCTTGACCTCTGGATCTGTAGCCAGGAACTCTGACCACTAGACCATAGAGGCCGTCTGAAATGAACATGTCAGTATCATTTTTTTCCCTTGGCACTACAGCTCCAGTGGGCCTAGGCCTACCTCCATGAACTTCTCCGTTCACTTCGGTGTCAGTATCATTAAAGTGATTAATAGCGCAAAGCACAAAGGCAGATAATAAACAGTAATGTAAGAAAGACATTCCGTTAATTTCAAGTAGTTCTCAAGCTACCTGCCAGGTTGCATTACAGTAAACGAATTAGGTGGCGCGGAAGATCAGTTTGTGAACAGTAATGACGGTAATGACATCCTTCCTTGCTTGTCTGTGATGATATCATTCTGTATTCAGAGGGGGTTTCAGTCGGTCTCAGTTGCAGTTCAGCATTCAGATTTGGACAGTCAAATGTTATTTAGCTTCATGATTTCATGATCTTCATGATAGCGGTACTATTAGAGTGTATATGCTGGCAATGTAAGTTGCAGTTTGTTATTATTATAGCAATATGGTTTACTGTTTTGTATTTGGGAGTAATTTGCAAGCATTGTGTTATTTACGTATGTGTACAATAAGGATAAAATAATATCTCGGGCGCCTTGAAATGACTTCCGTTATAGGCCAACATTCAATAATTTGTATAGGTAATAAAATATTAAGAGGGTATTTGTTCTGAGATTACAGAACGAGCTTTATATTTGTTTATGCACTTAAATATAAAGTTACACTGATCTTATTTACAAAATTCTAAATCCATCTACCGAAGTATCATACAGTAATATAATAGCTTAGCATTTTATGTGTTAAGTTTGTTGAACACACTGTGTATTTAAGTTTTGAGGTTTTCACGGCGATGACTATGACTATAACTATGACTTCTGGGATCTGTATTCGCAACGCAATTCACCTGCCTTGAAGATGGAGGCGATACGTTCCTCCGAAACGTCGGTTAAAACAAAGAATACACGGCGACAGATCCCAGAAGACGACTTTCTTCACACTGTGTATTTGTCCATAAAGGCTTATATAATAAATATGTTACAACACCTAGTATTGCGTAATCGAAAGTTTTTAAATTTGATTTTGATAGTCATCTGAATGGTAATTGTTTTTGATTTATGGTCAACCTCTGGAACTTCTAGAAGACAGCATAATAAACATAATTTCTGAATTAAACCCGAGTGTAGTGATATTCGAAATCTCTCCGTTGTTACCGGTTGTTACAGTCAAATAAATACACACTATACGCTATGTACAGAGAAAGAGAGAGCGATACTTCTCATTGCTACTTTGTAATATTCTGGGATAATATATATATATTAATGAATTCGTACATATATAATTGTTGAGAGCGCACTTACACGAGAATAGATGAACTTATTATGGCAATAAGGAAAATATAGGTCTGTATAAAATTGTAAATGAAAGGAACGTTAGACTCCGAACATCGTCGTGTTAGGTAGCACTACTACCACGTATTAAGTAAGTACAGTTTCAAATTTAGTGATACCGCCCCTGGTAAGTACATCTGATATCACATATACGATAGTAGCCTCAATTGCATCCAGAATAAACAGCATATTTGTAGTGGAAAATACCCCTTTGATATCTCGGTCAGGTCATCGATTATATTGACAGATTTTTATGATATTCTTCAGATATACCATCCTGATATACATCCGGAGGGGTGTGTATTGGGATAAGACGAGTATTTTAAAATAGGCCGCTGCTTCCTCGTTCCAGATTCCCTCCTACTCATGTTCAGTTAATATTTTCTCATTTCATTCGGGTGAACTTGACTTCAGTCGAATTAATTATATTAAATAACCCAAAGAATAAAACACTGCAGTTGATAACAGCATGAAACACTGCGCCATAAATACGTATGAAACAGCCGGGCAGGTTGAGGAAGCAATAACGCTCGGGTCTTGTACCCGGTAGGTGCGCCGTTAAAATTCAGCTGGGACACCTTATATCCTATTCGAGGTTTTCGCGGTTTTCCTCAGTCCCTCGGAGCAAATTCCTCGATAGTAATTCCATTAGGCCATGACCGCTTCCTTCTAAACTCTTTCCAATTGATTATTGGCCAGTATTCCTACCATTCGACGGTACATATACCGAGATATTGATATAGTCGCAAAATAAGCCACGAAAGCAGAAAGGGATACATATACAGTGCAACGAATTAAGTGCTAAGCAACAGAAATAAAAAACAACAAAATTCATAACGAAGCGTCGGTTAGCCCTAACTTCTGTCATAGGATGAATCAGGCAATACTTTAACTGATGGTGCGCACTTTGACGAATCAAACTATACTTCAGTTACTGGTGTGCACGTTTGTTATTTTGCACTCATGCGAAACTGAAAGACCAATCAGGAATAAGAGCTGAGAGAATTCGAATTAATCCCTCTTCGCTCAACTTTACGCCTTCCACCAAGGGAGATAATTGGAAATCCAACTCTGGTCAAGTCTTCAGCTGTTCGTTCGTGCATTCATTCATTCATTCATTCATTCATTCTTTGTTCGTCCTGTAGATAGAAGTACATTGATATAGACCACATCATACATATTTTACATTGTCGAGGAAAATTAATGATTAAAATATTTATAAAGTGTATCTTGTTGGGTGATCAAACTAATCTAATTGCCGTGTTCGGTCTAAGTAACTCTAAAAAGGTATACCTACTCAACTGTTTTATTAAAAATCACTTCATGTTTCGACCATCCAACTGGTCATCATCAGGTGGTACAGTACTTGCAAGTGTTATTGAATTGAAACCATATAACTAATTTGGACCTACATTTACAATTTACTATCTCTTGCTACATTATATTGTAGCAAATTTGTAATTTTATAATTTTTAATGTTTATATTAATGAATTCAGTACACATAGTAGACAGAAACTATTGTAAATATGGGCCCATATGTTAGTTAAAATTGTTGCAATTCAAAAACACTTTCAAGTACTCTTATCACCTGATGATGATCAGTTGGGTAGTCAAAACATGTAGTGATTTTTAATAAAACAGTTGAATGGGTATACATTTTTAGAGTTTCATAGATGGAACACATCAATTAGATTAATGATAATAAATTAAAATTCTTAAAAATATAACATATTCTGTGCATGTGCTATCACTAGCTGATATTTGAGAATTGTACCTTGAGATAACCTTCTATTGAATAATAGCATATCTTAATAAGTAAGTTAATTTCCTTTTTGAACTGAATGTTGTTAACTATTTGTTTTTTTTTCTTTTTGTTAGGCAATTCATTATAAAATATGCAACCTGCTTGTGGGGGTTTACTGCTGTACAGTTCTAAATTACGTCCATAACTATGATAATCATCATTTCTTGTGTTTTATGTATGAACTTGTTTATTTACAGTGCAGTTACAGTTTACCTTTGCATATAAGATGGTTTCTTGAATGTATATATATTGTTAACATTTTTAGATGTCTAAAATTATCTCTGTACAATTCCGATAGCTTTAACACTGCAATGCACCTTATAGCCCCTTTTCAAAGGTAAATATTAGTCTAGTGAGTGTCTTAGCACCCTGTCCACATACAATGATCAAGTTCTTTCAATATGTACTTCCCAGCCTAGGTTGCTACCAGTCAAGACACTTTACCTTAGGTACTTCCCTATTCTTTATTAGCATTTTTAATTTGTTTTCCTGTCTGCATTATTTTGTCTGAAAAGGAATGTGGTGTGTTGTTTGGATTTGGTTGTTAGAAATTTACAGCGTTCACTCATTGCTTCTATTTGTTTTTCCACATTGTTTTACTTACAAAAACTGCTGCTCAAATAGCAAGAAGAAAAATTAGCAGAAAGAGCACTTATATCTGTAAAATGTGTCTGCAGGTACTGTAAGAAATCTAGCAAGAACGTTCAAGCCAAATGCCAACAAATGAGAGAAAGAGGCCAGATAAAATTTTTCTGTCGCATACGATCAATGGAGAATGACAGTGATATTTCATGCATAAAAGTTCTGTCAGATAAGATAGTTTCTCTTACACCACCAAGTACTTCTGTTGGCTTCCAGACTGGAAATTATAGAGAGATTCACTGTTTATTTCATCGTGTCTTTGAAGAAGATGCCAGTCAGGAGACTGTGTTCGAATGGACGACTATTCCACTCATCAATGATGTTTTTAGAGGAAAAAGCTGCCTTTTGTTTGCATATGGATTGAGTGGAGGTGGGAAGACCTACACTATGAATGGAGAACCACGGAAACCTGGAATAATATCCCGTGCCCTGGATGTAATCTTCAACAACATTATGCACTTTCAGGCAGAGAAATTTGTTTTCAAACCTGACAAAATGAATGGGTTTGAAGTGCAAGCTGAAGAAGATGCCTGGAAAGAACGTCAATGTGAAGCACACAGAACACAGAGGCTGATGAAGTATGCATGCAGGCAAGATGACGTGATTTTTCAGTTTCAGTTTGGGATAATTATTTTAGACAATTTTTTTTTTTCCACTAGTAAGTTATTAGCAGCAGAGAAGGTAGGTTACCATGCCAGAATTCATTTAGTAACAAATATTAAAATAATATTATTATATAGGATTCATTGTACATTTTGTAACCCAGTATCCCATAAAAATGAGCTGGTATAGCACAGTTGATTTAGTGATTGGCTACGGGCTGGACGACTGAAGGATCTGAGTTCGAATCCTGGGTGGGGGCAAGAATTTTCACTTCTCCATGTCATTCAGACCGGCTCTGGGGCCCACCCAGCCTCCTATTCAGTGGGTATGGGGGGGATATTTCTCTGAGGTCAAGAAAACGTGTGTCTATATATCAATTCTCCCGTACATCTTCATGGTGTACTGCTTAATTATTTTAGCACAAGGACAACTTTATGTTTGCCTTAATACCTCATAAAATAATTTAGCAGGCCACTAATATAAACCGTAACAGATTTTAAATAATGTTCAAAGTTATGGCCTCATATTGGGTACCACTTCAAATGTCTTCATTGTTGATTGAAATTTGTTGCTTCATGACAAATTTTGACATAGTGACAAAAATGTATTGTGTATTCACAGTATGTCAATTCCAGTCAGTGCACATTTACCAAAATTATATTTATCTAAATATTTCATAGAAATTTTAGTTCACACTGAAATTGTATAATAGCATGATTTTATATTCAGTAAAAAGTGGGAAGATATGCACTGACTTGAGTTGCACATTCTCCAAATTATTTCCTGTCACTTGGTATATCTCATTGTCTTTAATATACTTTTATACCATATACAAAACTACTGTTCAGCATAGGGCCCCCTCCAAATTACAAAACTTGTAGAACAGTTTCTCAGATTAAAGATGTGGATGAATGGAGAAATTAACTATCAAATATAGGAGACCTTGCCATTAAGGTATACAGGAGCCATGATTCCATGCGTTCTGTACCTTGACACTACAACTTTTGTATATCAAGAGGAATGCACAGGTATGGGAGTACAGGTTAAATGTAGTGGCAAGGTCTAGAATATATGGATCCACCCCTTCAGTCTTTATTTTTCTGACATACACCCATGTGTGTGCATACACGCACAATCACACATAATTTTCTTGTGTTCTGCTCAGTAGAAACAAAAATGGCATATTCCTCTGAAACCTGGAAATGCTGAATTTTTCATCTGCTTTATGCAAATTATGCAACTTCATGTTAACAATGTAAGCCAAGGCTACATGTCTTGCTTGCATGTTAGCACTCATTGTCAACATTTGTGTTCCACTCATGTCTGATGAATTTTTCATTTGTGGTGTCTCACTGTGGTTGCAGTGTAAACTTTCAGTTTCATGATAAAATGAGGTTCCAAAAAGCATGGTGGTGACATATTAATTTACTACACTGTACTGTGTTAGACAAAGTGATAATTAAATTAGGAGTCATTAATTTCTCCAAAACTTCACATTCAATTTTATGCACAACATGTCTGTTATAGGACAGATGATGCAATTGAATGTGATCAACAGGCTCCATGTTATATACAACTTGAGGGCATTGATGAGGACAACATTTACGCCATTTTTATCAGTTACGTAGAAGTTTACAAAAATGCAGTCTATGATCTGTTGGAAGACACCCGGGATTATGGAAAACATAAGTATGAATCACAGCTATATAAAGATTTCAAATGGGATTTATATGCCATAAAAATCAAACTAACCACAGTATGTACCCATAGGCGTCTTCAGGGAAAGTTGGTACGTGAGGATAGGACCCATGATATGTATGTTCATGATGTGGTGGAAGTAGAAGTGAAGTCAAGCAAAGAAGCACATGAAATATTGTATAAGGGGATGTGTACGAAGCGCAAGATATTTGGGTCCGTCACTTCTGGTTTCAGCTGTAGTCATTCTGTCTTTACTATAAGAATTGTTCAGGTTAGTGTGAAGTTTTTGCCAAATTATTCCAGGGAGATTTCATGAAACTTGGCCTCCTGTATGACTATTACATGTCATTGAATTATTGATTACATAAAATAACTCATTCTGATGCACAAAAATGTGAATACAACATATTTCAGTTAAAATACACAGATACGTCTATTGCAGTTTACTTTCACCCAACACAAATGGGTTTTATACTTGAAAGGTAATTGAAGAGACAGTCCTCTGTACTAGGCTTAAGATTATACTATAGACAGTTTAGAATAACTCTGTGATCTTGGAAATCTATGAAAGAAATTTAATTGTTTGTTGCATCCTGTTGTGTATTTTAATGAATATTAGAGTTAATTTTACCGACCACACAACACGTTTTTTATTTACTGTCGCACTACATGTTTCGACCTCAAGAGGTCATCCTCAGGTGTACGAACACAGTTGCACAATCACACGCAATCACATTCGTTTTTCCACTTATTTTGAGCCTGTATCCTGTTCAGGTCCACGCTCAAATAATATGTGTCAAGTTCTTCTTATAAAATATAAGTTAAAAAATACAAATGTTAAAATTTTAAATTTTAATTTTAATTAAATTTTAAATTAAATGAGGATGACCTCTTGAGGTCGAAACATGTAGTGCGACAGTTAATAAAAAACGTATTGTGTGGTCGGTAAAATTAACTCTAATATCTATGAAAAAATTCTAAAGATCCTTAGGTTAATTTTGATAATGGCATATCACATTATGACTGCCAGTGTATCAATTAGTGATGCTTAATGGACCCAAAAACTGTTTCTGCAAAGTACAGAACCGATCCAAGCCATGTGACAGGAAGCATCTTAAATTTTGTGTACTTAAAAAAATTCCTCTGTTCTGTCTTGTATTTTAAAAATGTGATAATTGTTATGGTCCGGGATTACATGAGTATCCAGTACAAGAAGTGTTTCACAAACAAAAATGTGAGTCAATATATTCTCCAGAATTCTGGAAGAGCTGATGCATATACTTACAGGCTGTGCTTGACCAGTTCGGAGGTGCCCCAGAACAGAAAGGAGCCTATTGTGTCAGTAAACTTTGTCTTGTGGATTTGGCAGGTAGTAAGTGCACAAATTATATGAAGAACACAAGCCAGAGACTTGGAGAGTCAGGTACTAGTAAGAACTGAAAAACTTATATCCTTAAAATTATGTGAATTATAGAAATTATCAGAATTATAAAACACATACCATATAGGGTTCTTGATAAAAACCGACTTTACTCATAAAAGGATTTGCAAAGTGTCACTAGAATTCACAGTGATATGAGATCATCTTTCATTCTGCTAGCAAGAACATAATTTTTGCAAATTTTAGTTTTAAAATTGTCACAGTTTGAGCAAAGTACAAAATTGCTCTTTGTATTCAGATTTTTGTTTCTTTTGTACTTTGGTGAAAAACATTTATGGACATCTAGCACTTTCTCGCAGACAACCTCAACATGAATTTAATTGCAGGCAATATCAACAACTCCCTGATGACACTGAAGACTTGTCTAGAAATACTGCATGAAAACCAAAAGCTAGGAATGAAAAAGTTAATTCCTTACCGTGACTCAAAACTAACATATCTCTTCAAGAACTTCTTTGAGGGAGAGAGTAATATACATGCGCTTATCTGTGTGAACCCCAGAGCTGCAAATTTTGATGAGACACTAGTAAGTAGAAACGGTTTTAAATCCAGATATTCATGTGTTAGGTTTCTCGTAGAGTTGTATGTAGAGATAAAGTACTGTGGGATAAGTTGATTTTTTACTGAACACTTTAACCTAGAAGGCATGGTTAATATCCATGAATATCATTGATATTTCTGCAGAAATATTGTCAAGTGCTGGCTTTATTTTTTATGCTACTGGTTGAACATCACAAGGAGTAAAAGATTTGAAACCATTGCAGTGGCAAGGGTGATAAAATCCCTATCATTGGACCCTGATGGTAGGGACAGTGATGGTCCCTGAAACATCAATAATTTTTAACCACATGACAGCTGATTGCTCAAGAATATTTTTACATCACATGGAGAATCTATAGCTTCAGATTATACCGGTTGTGATATTCCATCAGTGCACATGGACCTACAAACAATATATGCTCTAAACTTCCCTTAATGTTACGGCATTACAGTGAATGCAACATTTTTTTACAACTTATCTGGACATCATTCTCTTCTCTTGCAAAAAAAAAATTGTTTAGATTCTGGTCACAGAAGGTATAACACAATATTACAGCAATCCTCTAAATGTTTCTGACACTGGTCCATTATTCATGATAAACCTCTTATGCTGGACACTGTTGTGTCTTGGGCATATTTAAATTATATAACTATAAAAGCTGGATTTACTTCCAAAATGTTCTATAATTTAACTATACCTAGGACAATGGACAAAGTGCAGCATAATAATTATTTATTCAGGGTTGAATAATATATCATGATTTATTTAAAATTACAAAAAGAAAGATATTCTTATTAACTAACTAAACTAACTCCATGGAGATGAGTCCTTGAGAAGCTGCAATATCACACCAGTGACCCCTTTGCATCGTGTATGACATTTTATCACACACTCTGTGCTCTTAACTACTGATATGATTCTCTTGTGTAAAAAAAACTGTAACTCGTGATTCTCAATCCCTTTTCCATAGAAAAATGTATTATCACACTTTCAGTAGCTATGGAGGGGAGGTTAGATTAGTAATTGAATTTACTGATCTCTTAAACACACAACTCGTGATTGCAAGTAAGGATTATGCTGTCACTTTTCTATACACTTCACAAATCACTAGGACAAACTAGGGTCTTCAATAGCTGCTGCTTGGTAACGGCTTCCAACGGTGGACATTCTCCTTCTTCTGGGTTCCTGAACTGTTCCTGGCCTCAGCTACCAGCTTCTCACAGTAACAGCTCACAGTAAATGAGCCCAGCAGTTATCTAACTAAATCACTGACTCCTCATTAGTTAGTTAGTTATTGGAGAGGGTGGGTTTCCCCATGCACTTAGACCAGTATTGGTCCATTGTGCTTCCCTCTATATTCCCTATATATTCTACCAGTCTCTATACCCTACCAATAAATGGTGCATACCATCAGTCCCGCCGAGCAAGCGGACTCCTCACTAACATCATCCAACTGACTGAATCAACAAAAAAGTCAGTCAGTTGGTCAGTAAGTCTTTAGATATTTTTTACTGTTTGACAGTTACGGTCTTCCTTTCGTGGGGCGCCCTCTCTAATGAGAGGATGGGTCTGTCATTTGTATATGATGCTGGCCCTTGCCAGTGCAATCTTTCTCGGGTCTGAGTCCCTTGGGACTTGTGACCATATTTTACTGTGTTAAATTTGAGACTTCCCTTTTTGTCGCCTTCTACAACTTGCAAGGACACTGCACTGCAAGGGCATTGCAACTGAATCAACAGCTAATTGGTCCTGCTTATAACATCTCAGCACAGACCATGTAGAAAACACCATTCCTCTGTTGCAGTGCAATTGTTGCAATTGAAATATACTTGTTTGAGCAGCGGTTACGTAGCAACGGCTACTGTATAGTGACTTATTTTGCGGTCATTGCCTAGCAATAGGATTACATGCCGCAGTATATTTGCCTGCTGGTTCAGTGCCACCCCTGTACCATCAGACATCCTGTACTCCCACTAAATCTAACATGTATTTTGATATATCTTTCGAAACTCTGTTGAGCCAACCTGCCCTATACAAATTTCTTACATGGCAAGTTCCAAATCTTGGTTCATTTTCCTTAGCCTACATCGTTTATTCACAGCATCTGTTCAAGTAACGTTTTGTAACAAGCTTATTTTTCTATTGTGAGGAGCGGTTAGCTCCACGCCCAACTCCCCAGCTGGAGGACCACTCTTTGTCAACTGTCCATGACTACTTATTGAATATATTCACAGCTACCATCCATACCTGAAGTCTTTATATTACATTACATTGCATTCCATGGATCCAATGTTAGTCAAAATGACTGTAGGATGTGGAATATGTCATATAAATACAAAACATATGTAGAGACCCAATGGAGTTGTCACACAAGAGAAACCAAAAATACACAGTGACTACACACAAGGCTATTTAAAGATACATAAGCTATTTTCTAGACAATAGGTATTCATCAACAGAGTAGAATTAATGTGTATTTAAGTATTGTTTCAGTGCTATTTTAAATCGTGCCTTTTCAATCATAAGACCTTTGAGATCAGATGGCAGGTTATTAAAAATACTGATCCCAGGATAATATGTGCTTTTCTGAAAGCATGAGAGGTTAGCAATTGGTTCATGAAGACAGTGTTTGTGTCTTGTGTTAACACTGTGTACATCTGCATTCGTCCGAAAATATTCTTCATTATTTGTAATGAAGTCTATTAATGAATATATATATTCACAAGGCAAAGTTAAGATCTGTAGTCTCTTCAATAGATCTCTATAGGATCTCTGTCACCTCCATCAGCAACCTGAGGACATGCCAGAATGTCAAAACAAGGGACCCAATTAACACTGGTTGTTTGACCACTGTAGTCAATAATTTGGAATTAGTATTCTTTCAGTGATGAAACATAGAATATAAATATATATCAAAATTACGTTTTTCAATTAGATCACTGTGCAGGTACCCTTATTAACCTTTAATGAATAACATTTACATTTCACATATATGGAAAACATTCGGTTAAAGGGTAATGCATATAAAAGGGACTAGGGCACTAAGTTGTCATGTATTTTTCTAAAACAACAGCAGTACATTTGAATACATAGTCTTGTTTAAAACAGATGCAGAGCATGGCAAATTAAGGATTGTCTTGACATTTCCTTTGAATTGTGTACAAAGTTACCTTGCAGAGAAGACTTGTTTAATGAATGACATCGTTTACTCAGTCAGGTCTAGAACAGTTGTTCACGGTCATAAATAAATGTCATTTGGATCTTTTTCATGGTTACAGCATGTTATGAAGTTTGCAAATATTCTAAAGGAAGTGCAAGTTCTACATCAGTCATCTACTGTAAAAAGTACTGGGTTTCCAGTTGGCAGGAGAAGAGCTAATCAGGTAAATCATTATGTGATCAGTTTCTCTGATTTCAATTAATATAAGATAGAGAAAAGCAACAAATGTAGAACCATTTACGAAAATGAACATATGAATTATTCATGGAATATGTATTGTCAGGTTTCACTTTTATCTTTCCAATTTCGAGGATCCTGGGAAATCCTATGTCATAGTAATCATCATCATCATCATCATCAGTAGCAGCAGGATCATCATCATCATCATCATCTCTATGGGTTAGTCTTACTAAACAGCTGTGGCTCTAAGGTTCAATTCAGAATTGGTCTGTCCATATTTTATATTATCTACCTCTTCTTCTGTTATCCTTATTACAGTAAATTGGTAAGATCTTTTAGCATATCTGATTTCTCTTAATCTTTCCAGATAGTGGAACCAATTTGATTTTCAGCTGTATCTTTTCATTGAACTCTCTCATGAACCATCTCAATCAAGCTTACATTTTCACAAGTTACCTAAAATCCATTATATTCCAGTCTACTGCAAATGTCTCATAAATGTGTCTTCTTACTACAATTTTAGTTGCATTTACTTATTATAAATTGTGAATGATCTCTTAATGTAATTTGTTTGGTAACACACACAAAACTTGTGTTAAAATAATATCAAAATTTCTTTTACATTTTTAGAAAGGAGACAAACAAAGAAATTACTGTGGACTGTAAAGTAATACTTCTCTCTTTATAAAGTAAAAATGTAAAAGTTATTCCTGTGCCCAACTAGGCACCATGCCATGAAGACAGACTGAGAAGTGGAGTTATATTGCCATCATGTGGGGGCAAGTGGTCAGCTTCATTCCTCAGTCACTTTACTCTTTGGGAAGTAGCCATTGGATATGAGGCTTGGTGGGTTGCAGAGCTGGTCTGGATAGTGTGGAGAAGAGAAAAGTATCATGAATCAAACGATAATTTCTTGGCTGTCCAATGTGTAATCTCATCACTATGCTGATTGGCCTATCCCTGCTCCTATTTTCATTCCGTATAGCTTTTTACACACTATTAATTTCAGATAATACACTGTATTGTTCTTGGATTGATATAATCTGTGTAAAATGGCAGTGTAATTTTTCATGTTGTAGATGTTCCAGGAGGCATTGCAGAAGTTGGAACAAGATGAGAGGGTACAAAGTTCTGATGATATATGCAGGTACAATAATTAAACGAAATTAGTTGAGAGAGCACTATATGATGTGAAGGCTTACAGACATAATAATACAAAGAATATCCTCTAATAAACTGACAGTTATATTTTTAATTTCAGGTTCTCACAGCAGTGATTATGCAGTTTGGTTTTCTGGATGATAATATCATGTAGTTCAGAGACAGCCCAATATTTCGGAGGTCTGTATCACCTCAGTCTTCAGGGTCAAAGAGTAAGTCATGCAAGAAACCAGAAAAAGCAGATGGCTAGCTGAGTCAGGTTGTGCTGGTTTCTTGTTTGGATTATCCTTCAGTTCCAAAGACTAAGCCAATATGTTGCTCCAAATTGCCTGGCTATCTCTGAACTTCACAGTGTTACAATCCAGAGAACCATAATCTGATAGTTATTTGCTGATTTGAATGTTGATTTGGAATGTGGAATCCTGCAATTGTTAAGTCAGAAAGACAAATTAAATTGGTGGTTGTTTATTATTGGACACAACAAAGAGCTAGTAGTACAGGGATTTCTTGACTGGTGTGACAGTTGTGTTCTAAGAAACAAAAGTCACACAGAGTGAAATGGCATAAACGAGACATTAGGGAGGTAATTTTTCTCCTTCTTCTCTTATATTCCTCCAATACTTCACTCCCTCTTCTCCCTACTTCTCTTGATTAGCTATCAAGCAATTTTCTATGAACTAAAATATTCCAAGGCTCTGAGTTGTCTTATTGACGTTTAATTTGACCATACAATTATGCTGGAATCAGTGTTTTTGTCATCTTTGTATGCATGAGATTGATCAGTACTGACTCCAAAACTTCATCCCTCATGATCTCATTCTAGAAATCTTTCATATCTCCTGGCCACATGTAACTGGAGATACTGAAAATTGCCTCATGGATCAGTTCCTCCATGTTGGCAGTTCTGAAGGTTCCATTCCGCTCTCCAAAATACCCATTCACCTGTGCCCATATGAGTTCAGTTGAGTTGTATTGATAGTAATAAAATGGAAAATCGTTATCAGTACTGTCAAACAGTGTCAGAGATTGTATGTTTACAGGCTGGAATAGTATGTTAAACTTGTGCATATATGGTCATATGACTAGATCATAGTTGAGGTGTCTTCTTATCTGCTTCTGTATGTGGCTGTTATCACCATCACTGTCACTGTCACTGTCACTGTCACTGTCACTGTCACTGTCATAGACACACGTATAAGGCTACGTTTTTCCTTAAGGATAGGAAAGTAGGCTTTTTAAGACTATGCACCTGATGTATTGACATCCCAGTTTTCAAAATGAAATTTATATTTCAAAGCCGTGTTAATACAAAAATGATTAGTGATCATCATGAAAGAATTGTTAATAACCACTGAGTATGACTTGTCTGAAGCAACTAAGAATGCTGCCTTTATATTCGCTTAGTGGGGGGTGGAGTCCAACTGGGTCCACTCGGCACGGCGGCCACTGATTGGCCTATTGTAGCCTGCCCCGGGTGATTATGATGATGGAGAATTTTGTGGAATGAAGATTGGTAGGGGAAACTGAAGTACTTGGAGAAAACCCACCCCAGTGCCACTTTGTCTACCACAAATCCCACTTGACCAGACCCGGGGTCGAACCTGGGCTGCTGCGGTGGGAAGATGCTGCCTATATAAGTTTAGCGACATTGTTTTCAACTAATGTTTTTTGTTATAATAAGGCATATTTTGTGTTTAAGTATCAGTACAGCCTTTCCATGCTTGGAGCTGAAAGATCCAATGGATGACAAGTTAATACACAATCTAATACAGTTTTTGGAGTTCAGACATGAGCAATACAATTTGCAGAGGCAGAATTTGGTTCATAAAGGTAATTATCATTCGCAGATTGTCTTAAGTTATTAGTGTGTATCTTGATGATTTTTGGCTAGTGATCAGGTCTGATGGTTTACACTACATTATGCATGGTCATGTTAGGCCTACTAGATGACTGAAAGAACTCCAACTTTGAGACTGAATAATATGTCAGCTTTAAGTTATAAAATTCAAATTCAAATGTGTGTTTTGCTTTCAACTGTACACTTAACTATTTTACACTGCAGTTCTTGTCTTTAGTTCATTTGAATAGCGGAGTCAATGAAAACAAGATTGGAATACGTGTGAATTATTGTTTTTAATCAGCAGTTACATTTGACATGTATAGACCTTATCTTTCAATTATGAATTCTTCAAAGAAATTAAATAAAATAAATCTATTATACATTATTATTATAGCTATTGTATAATATATATCTGTTGGACTATAAATTTATGCAACAGAGAAATAAGCTTATGAGATCTGCTTATAACTCCATGCTCTACAAATAATTAAGAACCAGATATATATATTCGTGTTGAACACCGCCAAGTAGAGGGTAGAAACCTTGCTGGCAGAAAGGGACTAGGAACCCCTGCCAGAGGAGGGGTGACCTCGCTGACAGAAAGGGACTAACTATTAGATACCACTGCCAGTAAGAGGTTGGAACCTTGCTGACAGAAAGGGGCTGATAGTAAGCACCAGTACCGGTAGGGTATGGAGACAGTAGAAATTAAAGGGGGATGCACAATGGACCAGTATCAATCTAAGTGCATGGGGAAACCCACCCCCTCAATACGGAATACGGAATATCCATGTTGAAATGTTGTATTTCCACATTCTGATGATGGTGAAATTAAATAAGAATTTATTGTGATATACACAGAGATTGTATGAACTTGTGATTGTGCATCTGTCTGCTTGTATTTATCACATAATTCTCAAGTGAAATTCCACATATGGCCTTGAAGTATAAATATCGTTAAACGTAAAGCAATGTAAAAATCTGAGTTGCAGAGAAGGAATTCTTTGAACACTTGAAGGCAGTTATGCAGAAAAATTTCCTGGCACAGCATGAGAATACAAGCTTGCACGACATTCTTGACTTTGAAACAAATAAGGTATGTTATTTGGAAACATTTATTTTATTAAGTGTACAAAATACTATCAGTTATTTCAGCAGAGTGGCTTGTCATAGTGAGAAAATATTTGAATTTAAGTTTGAGACAAATTTTTCTAACTTGGGTTTGTGTATTTTCCCATGTCATATATCATATTTATCTGTGAAATTGTTCCAGTTGTGTAATTTCACAACTTAAATCTATTTGTGGGGATAACATAAAATAATCTTTTTACTACATATTCCCCCTTCCTTTACTTTGACAAAATAGTTATTGTTTACACTTTGAAATTCCCATCCCAATTGGACCTGTCGTCCAATTTCATGCCAAAAATATGCTTTGTCTAACACTGAGTTCAATATTGTTATGACTATTAGAGTCATTGATATCATTTATTTGCTTTTGTATTAATATGCAGCAGTCTTTCAAGTCCTCCTTGCCATCTCAATAGACTGCTTTTGTAATGGTACAAGCTGCCAGGAAAGTATTCAGATATGTTGAGGGAAATCTTACTGTTCCTACTACTCAGAAGATCACGGGTTTGATCTTAAATGTCACTACTAATTATTTAATCAAAAAATATCCAAAACATGTGTTCTAGTGACTCCCAGTTACCTGAAGACAGGAGTATAACCAACACCTATATTCCATGCATATGAAATATACTTCAGACAATGGACTATGTTCAGTATAATATGAATACTTATATAATGCTTGAATTATCAAAGCTGTTCACATGTTTAGCACCATTAACTGCATTTTAACATTAATTGTTGTTACTGTAGCCTTCAATATATATATATATATATTGTTGCCCATCTCTGCCCTTTCCTGAGTGACTGCATGCAGAAGTGAAATAATTAAATTCTTGCACTGCAGTATCATATCTACATCAACACAGTTGCCTCCAACACAAATTGTGAGAAAAATGAAATCATGAAGATTATGAAGGCATTAGTGTACATTATATGTCATAGTGTATGCATTATATACAGAGACAACATGTATGAAAGCAACATCACTGATATGTAAGCACTGAGGATTAAACACATAAAAAATTATTTGTAGCAGGCGGAAGTGTGATGTTAACATGACACCTGATAATTAGAACAGCAGAATTTATGCTACAAGTTATATCAGTGTGACAAAATAGAAATAACTATCTAAGTTCATGAAGCTGAGCCCTTCTTGAGAAGAAGCCAGAGCTACTCAAGAAATTCCCAACAGTTTATGGAACCCGAAAGTTTGTTACCATATTCACAAGAGCTTTCCATTGGTCTCTATCCTGAATCAGAACAATCCATTCCATACCACACCATTCTATCTCGCTAAGATCCATTGCACATATTATCCTCCAACACAACTCTAGGTCTTCCTAGTGTTCTCTTGCCTTTTGCCTTAAATGTCAGACCAAGTTTCACACCCATATGAAACAACAGGCCAAATTAAACATTTATATATTCTAATTTTTACGTTTCCAGACAGCAGATGAGAAGACAAAAGGTTTGGACTGAACGGTAGCAAGCCTTACCTGAATTCAATCTCCTCTTAATTTCTTCTAGAATAAAATTTTGATTTGTTACTGTTGTTCCCAAATATTTGAACTGAGCCACATTTTCAAAGGACCCGTTAGCTATCTTTATGTCATGATATGCCCTGCATTCTGGAGATGTGGCAGCAAAGTGTACTTAATTTTCTGTGTGTTTGCTTCTAGACCAACCCCCTTACTAGTGTCAGTTAAGAGTTTCTGTGTTTTTTTATGGTATTGTCATGTTTTATGGAGCGTGACTGTAGACGGGATTTTTGATTATTGGGTTTATTGACCACTTACAGGTCATACTACAAACAACTACAACACTGTCGCTATTTCCACAATCTACAGTTCACTATATAGTATATTACAGTCTCCACTATCCATTTTCTGGCAATGAATTTTAACACAGGAACTATAACAGTCTCACTGAATTAGAGCACATGTAAAGTCTCCTCTTCACAGCCCAACTGCCAACCAGGCACATAGTGCCACCTTCTCATCTTTCCTTGTAGAGCTCAACTATTGACTAATTGCTCACTTGGAACTCCGGAACTTGACTGCCAATTCTGAGTCCGAGTCTTATGTTACGACCGATGGTCAGTCAGCCAGTCTGTCTTGGAATAAAGCATCCATCTGGGGCTTGTGACCAGCTTCTTATTACTGTCAGACAGTTGTGGGTTTGGTGATGTGGGGGGCAGTCAATCTCTGGTCCAAGTCTCATGGGACTAGTAAACATGTTTTACTGTCTGAGATTCGAGACTTTCTTTCTGCCACTCCTATGACTCGTAGGGCTACAGTGGAGGTATTCGGCTCGTCTTTAAAACCACTTCACATGGACCAAATAGAAAACATCGCTCCCAACAATTCCTCTATTGTTGCTTGCAAATTTGTTGCCGAGGAAACTTGTTTAGTGAGCCATTGTCAAGCAGTGGACATTTCCTCTGACTCCACTATTCTGGCCTTCAGGAATCATGTTACAGTATCTATATTATCTCCCTGTAGAATAACAAAATTACCATAAAACCAGCAGCTGACGTGTCCCATTTAATTTCAGTTCAAACTGGTTTTCCTGGACCTTCCTAATGGCATATTCTAAAGCAAAGTTGAAAAGCAGTGGTGATAAAGAGTATTTTTGTTTTAGATCATTTTGGATAGGAAAATTATCAGACAAATATTTACATATACAGACTCTACTATATGTTTCATTTTAACACATTTTAATCAGCCTCACTAGTGTCATGTATGGCCCACAATCTATGAGATCATTTATGGAAAGTTAGTAACATACGTGTTGTATATTTCAGTTTTAATTTAACATTTCACATGTTACCAGAGTTCATGACTGAAACACATTACAGGACTAATACCGTGCCAAAATTTGAGTCAGATATATTCTGAATATGTAATTTGGTTCCCATAAATCATAAATCTAATTAAAACACCGTCAAAGAAAGCAGAAGTTTATTCCCATTTGGAAACTTATTGCATACTTGTGGGATGGTACTGGATTATATAGTTGATGATGCATTCAGAAGATATGACGTTATAGGTCCAGTATTTGCATGGAGTATCTAAAAACACATCTCTTTTCCAGAGAATTGCCTTGGAGGCAAAGGAAAATGAAATGGAATCATGTGCTGAGCAGTTGAGGCAGGAACTTTACAACAGAAGTGAAGCAATTAAAATGGTGAAACAGGAGGTATGTATAAATCGGTTCATGCAGGATGAATGACACTGTTAAAAATATAAAAATAAACAAAGACACTGTACCTGATAATTGTGCCCCAGGGCCAATGGATTTCAAGTGTACTGGTTATTTACATACTATATAGGTCTCACCAGCCACTGTCTACACACCCAAAACTGAGTGATTCTCCTTCATTCAGTGATAGCAGAACCCAAAAGGTCAGCATCACTAAAACAACAGCCCAGCATCACAGATCCTACCATGATTTTGATATTGGGTTAAAAGAAAAAGGTAAAGCTATCCCTCTACCAGGCCATGGAGGCCCACAGAGTTGCAAGACCTCAAGGCTCCCACATTTTCTATACAATCAGCTCGTAGAGCATGGTGAGGTTGTCAGCCTCACACATTGGCTTTCCATTACTCCCAGGAAGATTCATGGTACTCATTTCTATTAGAGGCTGAGTCAACTGCAGGGCCATAGTGCGGCTGAAAGGATAAGGTCAATTGTAATTCCAAGGATCTTATCAGGAATCCAACCCATGACCTTCCAGCTTGTAGCATAGTGCCTCACCAACTATGCTACACACATATCCTGTTTTATATTGGGAGTTTTAAAAAAATTTGTGGACACAGTCCAATTTTTGTTAAAATCAGAACAGAAGAGGACATGTTACATAAAGACCCACATGTGTTTCTTCATGTATCTCAAGCATAAGTCGCAAAATAAAATGTCCTAGATGAAAGCTCTAAGGAAAAATGAAATATACATTCTATATCTAGTATGTTTTTCCATATGTCTCAACTTTTTCAAAATAATTAAATAGGAGTGAATGAACCAGAATTATGTTAGGTGTACATTTCATAAGTTAATAAGGTAGTGATGATGGTACATTAATACAGCTATTATGTTTCTGGACATTATCTATCATCCTGTTTTACCTAAAACACTGCCCTGTTTATATTTCAGAACACAATATTCCAGAGACCGGATTCTATCTTTGTCTTCAGGGGAAACCTACTCAGTTGGGCCCAATCGATAGAGCTGGTCCCCATGTCCAGAGATAGGAACTAGCTCTATTGATTGAGCCCAACTGAGTAGATTTTACCTGAAGATGGAGACAGACTCCAGTCTCCAAAACACTGTATTTTGAATAAAAAACAGGGTGGTGTTTTAATAAAAACAAGATGATGGATTATGTCCAGAAACATAATACTTGTATTTCCTAAGTTGTTAACATTAATTAACATTATATTAACTAAATGAACCACTGTGCTGCACATGATCCCCATGTATTCAACTATGTCGAAGGTTAAACTTGACAGAGGCATAACTGTTATTCAAGAGGTATGAAATTTATAAAATCAGCTACCATGAGAATATCTGAAATTTTTATCAGTGCTTCCAAGAAAAACCCAGGATAGTGCCAGAAAGTTTAACATGCTAAAGGTTTTGAGTTCTAGTCCTACCTTCCCTCAATATTTACTTTTCCCAGAAAATTAATACTTCTTTCCAGTTTCTGAGGTGTTTTGATTTTTGGTCCAACACACACACACACACACACATATACTGATGGTGACGCTATAGATCAGCCTGTGTCAGAGGCTAAGCCTAAGCATAAGATTCTAGTGCTGGGTAGCAGTCATGGTAGGGGTATTGGGCAGAGGCTACAGAAAGCAATGGGAGATGCATATGCTGTGACCAGCATATTCAAGCCCAATGCTGATCTGAGCAATGTCACTGGGTACATTGGAAAATTGTGCAAAGGTTTTAGTAAAGAAGATCAGGTAGTTATAGTTGGGGGGCCAGGTAACAGTTTGGAGAGAAACCTCAATTATCAAATTGAGAAAGATTTAAGTGACATTGCCCAGAAAACTAGTCACACCAATGTGAGGTTTGTTGGTCTTCTCTGGCGACATGACAAGCCATGGATTAACAGGTGTGTAAGGGAGATTAATCTTCGGCTTGAGCGTT